AGTATTCCAACCGCGGGTCGTCGCTACGCATGCGGCAAACCGACGGAGTAGTCGACTCGTACGAGAAGTGGAACGGATCGGTGCTGGTACGGGTGAGAACCAACGCTCGGGCGCTGATCGTCCACAGCGGTCCACAGCAAACGCCGCATCCGGTGCCACATGCCGTCGCACAGTTCTCGCAACCTGTCCCACATGACGAGTAGTTCCCCGTCATGGCCTGGTCCCAGGTGGCGCCGTTATAGAAAACGTTCTGACCTTGAGTCGTAGTTGTGTTGCTGGCTTGAACGGTTCGAGCCTGCGCCCAATCGTAAGCCTGATCGTAGGTGCCGAAGTTCGTCGCCGAAGCCGTCCGGAACGGCGTCATCGGCGGCTGGTTCTGAGGATACACCTGCGCCTGGGGGCGGTAGGGCTGTTGGTAAGCGCTCAGGGGCGGGGTCGTCGGCAAAGGCAACAGCGAGTCTTGAGCCGTGACCGCGCTGGGGCCAACGACGAGGGCGCAGAGAACGGCCCACATATGAATCGAGTATTTCATCGTTCACACCATCCGTTGTGGAACAGTGTCGGCGAATCCGTTGGGGTGGGCGGGCCGACTTCCGCGCCAGGGTTTAGGTGGGGGCTCTCACGCGAGGAACCTGCGATCGAGTCCGTGGGGCTGCAAGTTTCAAGACGATGCGACTGTCGACCTCCAATGTCGACGGCCCCTGAGCACGAAGGCAGCCATGCCCGCGTGACGTCCAATCGCATTGCACAAGAAACCTGAGAAGGGATGTTGCGCCGCAGCGCAAGCGATTCCTTACCAATTCCATCGGCCAACGCACTATGTGCGGTGGCAGATTTCGACCGGGAGAGCGAAGATTTTTCGCATCCGCACGATTGCGCGATGTTCAGGTCGACGCGATCGGCAAGGTCCGGTTTAAGAGGTGCCGATCGTAGCGGCTGTGCCAAACCGGTTGAGTCTGCGCGTGGCGCAGCAGATTGCTGAGCACTGCTGGACTGCTAGCAGAAACACAAGCCTAGTGAGGAGTCGTTCAGAAGCCGACCGGCGAGGCTATTTGATCCCGAGGGCCGAGAGTTCGCGACGACGCGGAACCTGGCCATTTTCGTCCGCCGGCAAGGCCCCAATGCCGGCCAGAAACTCGCGGGCCAGTTCGCGATAGTCGGCCGCGCCGGCCGACTGAGGGGCGTACTCCAGAATCGACTGCCCGAAGCTGGGGGCCTCGGCCAAACGGATGTTGCGGCGGATGCGAGTCTGGTACGCCCGGGCGTTCGACCAGGGTGTTTCGCGCTCCTGCGATGCATCGAAGAAGCTCTCGACGTCGCGACTTACTTCGGCCGCCAGTCGCGTGCCCGACTCATACATGCATAGAATCACGCCGCCAAGCTTCAGGCGTTCGTTCAATCGCGAAGCCACGAGTTCGATCGTTTCCAACAGCTTGCTCAAACCATGCAGCGCCAAGAAGTGCGGCTGCAAGGGGATGAACACTTCGTCCACGGCCGCCAGGGCGTTGATGGTTAATACGCTGAGTGACGGTGGGCAATCGATCAGCAAATAGTCGAACCGATCTTCGATCGAAGGTAGCGCGTCGCGGAGGATAAGTTCTCGCCCTACAACGCCTGCCAATTCGACTTCGGCGGCGGCCAGATCGATGTGTGATCCGACGAGCGAAAGGTTTTCTTGCACCTGCTGACAGACATCGCCGATTGCCCGATGTCCGACGAGCACCTGGTACACGGTTGATTCGCTGGAGTGGGGAGTCACCCCCAAGTGCAACGTGGCGTGCGACTGCGGGTCCATATCGACGACGCAGACTCGGCGCCCCGACTCAGCAAGTGCCGCGGCCAGGTTGACCGTTGTGGTGGTCTTTCCCACGCCGCCCTTCTGGTTCAAAATGGCGATCTTACGCACACGCAACTCCTTTTGCCGTCGGCGGCTCGACTCAGCCGGGCCGCATTGCAATCTCCGTGCTGCCCATTCGCCGCGGATTATACGAACGTGCCCCACATCATCCTAGAGGAGCCTGAGCCGATCCATTCCTGAAAAAACAGGCCCGAAAATAACAGCGCACCCCCCTGGCGCAGGCATGCCTGACATTTTTCTTACCCATGAACCATAATGTAGGCCACACGCTAGCATGGCCTTTACTTTCTGCCAGACGATCCATTGCCGCGGCGGTGGTGGCTATGCTGGCAGTAGGAAATGGGCACTAGCGAACACACCAAAATGATTCACCCCCCCAGAGTTATTCAGAGCAGAGAAGGCTTTCGTCATGCGGGTCATTGTTGAACACGATCGAGATCGAGTCGCAGTTCGTGCGGCAGAGTTCGTGGCCAGACTTATTCGTCGTCATCCCCGTTGCGTGTTGGGGTTGGCTACGGGTAGCACGCCGCTGGGAATGTATCGCGAGTTGATCCGTATGCACCACGAGGAAGGACTCGACTGCTCGCGGATCGTTACGTTCAACCTTGATGAATATGTGGGGCTGGGGCCCAACCATTCGCAAAGTTATCGCCACTTCATGCAGACGAATCTCTTCGACCACATCAATATCGATGTGCGCAACACCCATGTTCCTGACGGGCGGGCCTTGGATTTCGAGGCCTACTGCGAGCAATACGAGAGGCTCATCGAGGATGCCGGCGGCATCGACCTGCAGGTGCTGGGAATTGGCAGTGACGGCCACATAGCCTTCAATGAACCCGGCTCCTCACTTGGAAGTCGCACCCGGCTGAAAACGTTGACCGAAGAGACCGTCCGCGACAACGCCCGCTTTTTCTCCAGCCAAGACGAAGTGCCCCGCATGGCTATTACCATGGGGGTTGGCACCATCCTCGAGTCGCGACAATGCCTACTGCTGGCCTGCGGTGAAAGCAAAGCCAGGGCGATTCGCGATACGATCGAGGGTCCGGTCACGGCCCAGGTCACTGCTTCGGCCCTGCAATTGCACCGCGATGTGGTGGCGGTTGTAGATGAAGAAGCCGGCCGGCTGTTGGAGCGACGCGAATACTATCGCCAGGTCGAACACGCCCAAACGCAACTGCAGGCGAAGAAACTTCACGCGGTCGCAGACGAGAATGCAGAGTAGCTCGGAACCGGACGTATCGACCAACCTTGCTCACCTACTGCATTAGGGCCTACGATGAGCGTTCGCTGCTTTCGGGCCCGCCTCATTCATCTTAGTGGCTCGACTAGCAGGTGGAGTGAGCGAACGGTTGATTCGATGCTCCACCTCTGCGGTAAGTGAATCGCTTCAACTCCTCGAGAAGAGGCCTCCGGCCCCGCATGCTGCCGACCCCGAGAATCGATTTCGAACGAACTCCAGTCACACTGGTCATTACGGCGGTGGCTCTGGCGATCGAACTAGTCTGCACTTTCGATCCCGATGGCGGTCGGCGACACTACTTATATAACGAATTGCAACTCGGCATTTTCTGGCCAGTTTGGGAGGGGCAGCTCTGGCGGCCCTTCACCACCACGCTTCTGCACGGAAGTCTGCTGCATGCCGCGTTCAATATTTATTGGATGATCACCCTCGGTACCGCAATCGAGAACCACATCCGTTCAGCTCGGTACCTGGTATTCATCATCGTCGTGGCGTATTTCTCCACGATGTTTCAGTTTTATCTGACAGGTCTTTTTGGCCGCGTGCCCAGTGGGATGGTGGGGCTCTCTGGGGTTGTTTATGGATTGTTCGGGCTCATGTGGATTGGTCGCCGCTACGTTCCCGAGTGGCGCTGGATCTGCAATGACGATACCGTTCGCCTGATGATTGGTTGGTTTTTCTTCTGTTTTGTGCTCTCGAATTTCGGAATGCCAATTGCAAATTGGGCGCACGCCGGCGGGCTGATCATGGGGTATGCCGTTGGTGGGGCGGTGTACGATCGCAACTATAAGGAGGCCTATCGGGCAGCCACCGGAGTGCTGGTCGTCGCCACCATCGCATCACTGTTCGTAGCTCCCGGGCACACCCAGTACGAAGCCTTGCAGCAGTTGCGGCAACGACAACAGCTCCAAAGAGACCTGGAGAATGCCGGTTCGGGCACGATGATTCGCATTCAAATGGCCCCTGTCGAAGAAGGAAGCGAACCGGGGCAAGGAACCGAGGAACCACCTTCTGCCGCGGGCGATGAGAAACCTGCGGAAGCGGATGACGACACCGCCCGCGATGGGGTATAAAGCTGCCATCGAGATCAGATCTTCCAATTCACCGGCGGAGCAAAACTTGCTTCGACCCCAGAGGAGCTGGGTATGTACAAAGAAGGACCGATTGACGGGGTAGAATTTCGCTCGCTTAAGCAATTCACCGATGCCCGGGGGTGGCTCATCGAACTGTATCGCGAGGACGAACTCGACGAACCGGTACACCCGGTGATGGCCTACATCAGCGAGACGCTTCCCGGGGTTGCTCGCGGTCCGCACGAGCACGTGGATCAGACCGACTACTTCGCGTTCGTCGGCCCCGGCGATTTCTGTCTCTACTTGTGGGACAGCCGTGAAAAGTCGTCGACCTACCTGCATTGCTCGAAGGTGGTGGTTGGCGAGTCGAACCGGCAAAGCGTTATCATCCCGCCTGGCGTTGTTCACGCTTACAAGAACGTTGGTGATCGGCCCGGCTGGGTCTTCAATGGTCCGAACCGGCTGTATGCGGGGCATGGGAAGAAAGAGCCCGTGGACGAGATACGCCACGAAGATAAAGCCGACAGCCCCTTTGTGTTGGACTGACGCACTTCATCTCGGCAGTCAATTCTGGGGGAAGGGTGTGCCGCTTCGCCCCACTCTGTTCCTCGACTGAGCGACCGGACTCCGGACCCAAGTGTGATGGGTTGTGGAACCTCTCCCGGGACTTGAATCAATAGTTACTATTGATATACTCCGCTTGGACTCGACGACTCAATCGAAGCGAAGTCGTCGGGGGTGGGGCCGTGGGCGATGGTTGTTTTCAATCGCTCACTTTCAATCGCCAAGCACACCCAGGCAAGCACTCCCCCCAGGTATTCAAGCGATGGCTGAACTCGCGGGTAGTAGAACGCACGAGAACCTGAAGGCCGCGTTCGCCAGTGAGTCGCAAGCCAATCGCCGTTATCTATACTTCGCCAAAGTGGCCGACGTCGAAGGTGAACCCGAGGTCGCCGAGCTGTTTCGTTCGACCAGCGAAGGTGAAACCGGGCACGCTCACGGGCACTTAGACTTCCTTCGCAAATGTGGCGACCCGACGACCGACATGCCCATCGGGAATATCAAGGAAATGATCGCGTCGGCGGTGGAGGGCGAAACGCGGGAATATAATGAGATGTATCCCGAGTTCGCTAGAGTCGCGCGTGAAGAGGGCCACGAAGAAATCGCAGACTGGTTCGAAACCCTGGCCAAAGCCGAAAAGAGCCACGCCGGAAAGTTGCAGGAAGCCCTCTCGCGGCTAGGCTAATTTTCAAATATCCCAAGAGACATATCCCACCTGTTAAACCTCAAGGTATGCCTACCATGAAAACTTCTGGCTTCAAGTTCATCCCTTTACTGGTGGCCTGCGGGTTACTGGTTTACGCCGGAGGGTGCGCCCCTCAAGGAACCGCGACCGCAGATGCGGACAACACAAGCGCGGAAACCACGCCTGCTGACACGGCTTCGTCGGATGATGCACAAGCGGCCGAGTCGGCCCCGGCCGACCTTGGTCTTGATTTGACCGAAGAGGAAGACGAAGTCATCGTCGAGCCCAGCTTCGACGAAGAAGAGATGGCAGAAACGGAATCTGCCGAAGAAGCACCGGCACCCGAGGAGGAAAGCGAGCCCGCGGTTGCCGAGACGGAAGTTGTCGAGGAGGAGATGGAGGAAGAGGCTCCGGCCGAATCGAAACCAGAGATGACGGAAGTCGAGGACTTCTCGCCTGAGGATATCGAAGAAGACACGGAAGAGGAGACCGTAGAAGTCGAACCGATTGAAGTCACGCTCGGCGACCCCTCGCTAACCGCGGGCATCCCGGGTGAAGGACCGTTGACGATTGAAGAGATTCGCGGATGGCTCGACGATGAGTCGAATCACGTTCCGCTGAAGGTTAACTTGCCCATGGGGCTGGCCGCTGGACAAGGGCAAATCAAAGGGCTGGAAGAGAACCCACTGACTTTGGCCAAAATCGAGTTGGGCCGTCAGCTCTACTTCGACCCCCGCCTTTCCTCCGATAGCTCGATCGCTTGTGCAGGCTGCCACGACCCCGACCAGGGCTACACGACCCACACTCAGTTCGGCATCGGCATCGAAAGCCAAGAAGGCGATCGCAACTCGCCGGTAAGCTACAACCGAATTCTCAGCGACGAGCAATTCTGGGATGGTCGCGCAGGCTCGCTCGAAGAGCAGGCCGTGGGCCCGATTGCAAATCCGATCGAAATGGGGAACACGCACGACGCTTGTGTGGTGTGCCTCAAGGGAATCGAGGGATACGCACTTCAGTTCGATCGCATCTTCGGCGACTTGAACATCGACAATGTTGCCAAGGCGATTGCCGCCTTCGAACGCACGATCGTCACGGGACCTTCGCCCTACGACTATCACGAGCAACTGCAACAGTTCGCGGGTCTCGATCCTGAAGATCTAAAAGAAGACGATCCTGAACTGTACGAGCTTTACGAATCGGCTCAGGCTTCTGCCGACGAGCACCCCATGTCGGAGAGCGCTATTCGTGGCTACGAAATCTACTTCAATAAAGGTGCTAAGAAGGGCCATTGCAGTGCCTGCCATGTTGGCCCCAACTTGACCGATGAGCTGTATCACAACCTGGGTGTCGGCATGCTCAGCGAAGAACCCCCGGAGGGTCGTGCGGCTGTGACTGACGACGAGAAGGACCGTGGTGCGTTCAAAACGCCGACGATTCGCAACGTCGAACATTCAGCTCCGTACATGCACGACGGTAGCGAGGCGACCCTGGAAGACGTGGTGGAATACTACGTGGAGATCGGCAAGGGTGGTCCCGATAAGTACCCGAACCTGAGCGAGAAGATCAAGCCGATCGACGACTTGACCGACCAGGACAAGAAAGACCTGGTTGAGTTCATGAAGGCCTGCTCGGGCGATTTCCCTGTGGTTGAGCGAGGTCGGATGCCTCAGTAAGCCGCCAGTGGCGGCAGCGGGAAAACTATCTGCTGCTGATTTCGAAGCACACGCACGACCCGTCGTGTCGCAATTGCGGCCCGGCGGGTCGATTGCGTTACCCCCGCCAGGGCACAACTTGTCGCTATCGGGGGCCAGGCATAGACTGGAGTGAAGGAATGGCCTTTGCGGGGCCACCCACATGACCCTCCACCGCGAACCTAACTCCTTAAGCAATGTCTACTTCTGAAGACGAACTTTACCAAGAACATATCTTGGACCACTACGAAGACCCGTATCATCGGGGATCCTGTCCCGGGGCCACGCATGCCCACGAGGACGACAATCCGTTGTGTGGCGACTTCGTACGCGTGGAACTCAAGATCGACGATGAGGGCAAGGTGAAGGAGGCCTTCTTCGATGGCGATGGCTGCTGCATCAGCCAGGCCTCGGCTTCGATGATCACCGAGCAGTTGGAAGGCAAGACGATCGAAGAAGTTCGCAACTTCACCGCGGAAGACATGCTCGAACTGTTTCAGGCACGGCTCACCCCGAATCGACAGAAGTGTTGTCTTCTTCCGTGGCGGGTTTGGCAAAGCGCGATCTTCTCGCCCAGCAACGGTGATTCCGCTTCGTCCGAGTCGTAACCGAAGCGGTACGTCGAATCGGTCGCTGGCGAAAGCCACGAAGTTCGCAGATTGCTAGGCCTGCGAGTGGGGAGCGGCAACGGCCGCATTTACGATGGCAACTACACAAGGATTGCCGAAGCTATGACCACAGCCGAGCCCGTCACGCAGCTCGATCCCGAAGCGTTGCGTCCCGACTTCCCGATCTTGAAGACCCGACTGCACGAGAACGCGGTCCCGCTGGTCTACCTGGACAACGCCGCCTCGACGCAACGACCCAAGGCGGTGATTCAGTCGCTTGTGGATGTTTACGAGAAACAGTATTCCAACGTCCATCGCGGCATCCACTGGCTCAGCGACCAGAGCACCGACCTGTATGAAGAGTCGCGCGAGAAGGTGCGGCAGTTCATCAATGCTCCGGCTCGCGAAAGTGTGATCTTCACGCACGGCACCACCGAAAGCATCAACCTGGTCGCGCGGAGTTGGGGCGATGCGAATCTGAAGCCGGGCGACGAGATCCTGCTCACCGAGATGGAACATCACTCGAACATCGTTCCCTGGCAACAAACGGCCGAACGCACCGGTGCCAAGGTACGCTTTCTCCCCATCACTGACGATGGACTGCTCGACCTCGAGAAGCTCGACGAGTTTCTGACCGAGCGAACCAAGCTGTTCGCCGTAGCTTCGATCTCCAACGTGCTGGGTACGAAAAACCCAATCAAACGGCTCGTCGAGCGAGCCCATCAGGTCGGCGCCGTGGTTTTGGTCGACGCGGCCCAAAGTGTTCCGCACGCACCGACCGACGTGCAAGACTGGGGAGCCGACTTCGTAGCGTTCAGCGGACACAAGATGATGGGCCCCTCCGGCGTCGGCGTATTATGGGGTCGCGCAGAACTGCTGGAAGGCATGCCGCCGTTTATGGGTGGCGGCAGTATGATCCGTCGGGTGCGAACCGATGGATTCGAGCCGGCCGATCTACCTGCGAAGTTCGAAGCCGGCACGCCGCCCATCGTGCCTGCCATCGGATTGGGTGCGGCCATCGATTATTTGCACAAGGTCGGGCTCGAAGCCATTGCCCAGCACGAGCACCAACTGGTTGAGCGCGCCCATCGCGGTTTGGAAGCCATGGGGGGCATTCGCTTCCTTGGCCCCAGTCCGGAGCACAAAGCCGGCATCGTCAGCTTCACGATCGAGGGCATTCACTCCCACGACGTCGCTCAACTGCTCGATCGCTACGGTGTAGCCGTGAGGGCCGGGCACCACTGCGCAATGCCACTACACCGAAGGCTCAAGATTTCGGCCAGTAGTCGGGCAAGCTTCTATCTGTACAACACCGCAGCCGAAGTCGACATCTTCCTCGACGCTTTGCAGGAAGCAAGAAACGTCTTCCGCCGTAAGTAGTCTGCATCGCAGCTCGCTTGGTGAAGTTGCCCTTCTCCGCGTTAAAGTAATGACGCTCAGGGTGATTATGAGGGCTGTCTCGTGCCTCCAGAATTGCCAGGCCTTCAGTGCAGGGTGAAATGGGCCTGGGATTGGTTGGCTTATCCACCGGGGCCGAGTAGGCTGGGGGCTATCTGCTGTGGTGCACCGGGTTTCCGGCCGGTCATCGCTTGGGCAGAGTGTGCCTGAAATTCGTCCTTGGCACCGCCATCGCAGCTAATCTGAAGAGGGCATATCATGCTGGCGAACCACTCTTGGCTACTGGCCGCAAGCACCGAAGCCTGGAGCACTGCGGCCGCGCGCGGGGCTCTCATGCTGCTGCTCGCAGCGGGGCTTGTGAAGTGTGTGATGATTCTTCGCCGCCCCACCACCAACACGGTTTGTGTTGTTGCCCTCATGATTGCCCTCTTCGCTTTCTTTGCCAGCGGGGCGACTGGTTTCGCAGTTCGCTTTGTGGGTGGCTCTCGTGCGATTGGCTACGGCGGAACATTGTTGGCGATGTTCTTTCTTTTGGTGGCTTTTCTGACAAGCTTCATCGGGATCTATCAATGGATGATGGCCGAACCTCGCTACAAACAAGGCATCCGACAGGCCATTTCTGCGGCGATTCTGGCGCCGCTGGGATTATTGATCTTCGCAGCAGTTTTGATTGCAGACATTTCGTTGCCGGCGCGAGTTGAAACGCTTCGCCCAGTGGCTTCCGAGGTGGTCGAAAAGAAGGGCGAGCAGTTTGACGAACTGAATTATCAGTACGTTGTGCCGAATGGACCTTGGAAGCAGGTCGAGATCGAGGAGATCAACGATTCGGCATCATTCGGGCTGACACGATCGAATCCCGAAATCTACTTCATGATTATCGCCGAAGTGGATCCAACCGGCGAGCTGACCGACGCTTCGCAACTCGCGGAAGTTGCCAAAATGAATCTGAAGGACGGTGCAGACGCCTTCACGGTTCAGTCGCAGCATTCCCGCACGGTCAACGGGATCGAAGGCATCGAGATACTCACCGATGCGACGGTGGATGGACTGCGGCTCAGTTACGCACATTGGGTCACCGTCCAAAAAGGCTTTCTCTACCAGTTGGTTCTCTGGAGCGATCAATCGAACCACGCGCATCTGACCGACGCAGTGAAGGAACTACTGCCGGGGTTCAATCTGCTCGACTCCACTCGGGTTGCTGAAACTAGCTCCGAGCATCTCCCCACGCATCGTTCAGAGACCTATGGCTACAGCGTTGAGCTGGATCCGCAACATTGGCGCATCGATGAAGCACTCCAACGCGAATTGCCGGGGATCAGCTTCGCCGCGGGCAGTGCTGGCAAGGCATCGATGATCATCATTCCCATCTGGCTGCATGGGGAAGAGATTTCAAGCGATGTGATCAACGCCGCGCTCCTCTCCAGAATGGACTTTGGGATCTCGAGCCACGAAATTGTCAGTATCAACCGCCTGCCAGACCCCAAGCTCTCGGGCTCGGCCATTAAGGCAAAGCGTAGGCTCGATGGGGAAAGTTACGATTATCAGATGAGGGTGATCGAACGCGAGGGGTTCGCCTATCTGCTCGTTGCCTGGAAACTTTCAAGTGCAGACGACTGGCCCACATCGCGGCTGGAAACGGCGTTGAGCGAAATTGAGTTTGACCGAAACGTCAAGCCACCAGTCCAGCTTTCGTTCGACGAGGAGGTCAGCCACGCTTTGTTCTTCAACGATGCTGGTCTGCAACTCTACTCCGCAAGTGAGTTCGAGCGTTGTGCGAAGTTCTTCAAGCGAGCTTTCGAGTTTCAATACAACGACAAGGCAATGCTCACCAACGTCATCGAGGCGTACCACCAACTAGGGCAAGACAAGGAAGCCCTCGAATATCTTCAGAAGTACGCGACTAGATTCCCGAACGATCGAGAGCTGCTGGTTGTTCGCGGCGACTTGCAATTGGGGTTGGGAGATATCGACGGTGTCATTCAGACCTACGATACTCTGTTCTCCGGCGGGGATCGTAACGACGATCAGTTTCTCGGCCTCCTGGCAGTGCTAATCGAGCATCAACTCATCGACGAGGCAGTTGAACGCCTCGAGGCATACCCCGGTAAAGACGATTCGTTCGATCTGACCTTGGTGAGGGCGCGTTTGCATTGCGAGAAGGGCGAATACGATCAGGCAATCGAGGTTTTGAACGAGCTTCAAGCCGGCATCCCATTCAGCGCCGACATCGCCTACGAGTTGGCCGAGGTGTATTACGAAGCCGAACGACATCAGGAAGAGTTGCAAACCGCCGAGGCTTTGCTCGAGAACGGTCACAATAATTGGTACGTATACTGGATCAAAGGGATCGCTGAAGTCGGGCTGGAGCGCTACCCGGAAGCCAAGGCCTCGCTGGAACTCGCGCTTAAAGCGAACCCACGCGATGAGGACGTGAAGACGCTGCTCGACCATGTCTCCAGCTTATTGGGGCAGGGCGATAACTCGGCGATCAAGGATCCCATCGAACCGGTCGTAATCCCAGAGCAACTTCGCACCGCGATGAATGCCCCAACGGGTGAAGTGCCAGAAGATGTTGACGCTTTCTATCATCACGACATAAACGCGGTGGAGTTTGTTCCGGGCGAAAGCTTCAAGACCACGCGCGAATTCAAAGTGCAGGTGATCACGCGAACGGGGGTCGATCTATACAGCACCTTGCGTTTCGATTTCAATCCGGTGGTCGAACAGATGTTCGTGAACGAGTTGACGGTTCGCGATGCGGATGGGGAAGTCGTGAGTCGGGGCGATCCGGCATCGTACTACGTGATCGATGCATCGGCCGAAGACATGGCCACCAACGACCAGATTCTGCATGTGCCCGTCTCAGGGCTCCGGCCAGGATGCGACATTGAATTCCGCATGACCCGTCAGGACTTAGCTGATCCGGAGGAGTTTCCCTTCGATGAGTATCCTCTGGCTTTGTCATACCCAATCGCACGAAAGGTGCTTTACATCAAGGCACCACCAGAAAGCTATATGTACAGAAGCAGCAACGCCGTGGAGAGTGTCGAGAATGATGGCGGCCGATATTGGCTGATGAACGCGGTGCCCTTCTATCGATACGAGCCATATCAACCTTTAGGAGTTGAATACCTGCCCACGGTGTGGCTTGGTTCGCCGATGGCTACCTGGAGCGATGTGGTCACCGAGTACCAGGAAAGAATCGAAGAGCGGTTGGAACCCGAAGAAGAAGTTGCAACGTTGGCGGCATCGCTTACTACCGAAGCTAAGGATGACACTGACAAAGTTCTTGCCCTCGTCGACTACGTTCAGCAGCACGTGACCTATCGAGCGATCGAATTTGGCGTGCGTGGACAGATGCCTCAAAACGCCGCAAAGACCATTCGCGATCGCCACGGCGATTGCAAAGACCACTCGTTGCTTTTGCACCAACTTCTCAAGGCACAAGGTATCGAATCCTACCTGGCGCTGGTGCGGTCCGATGGGCCGATTGAGAGAGAAATCCCCAGCGGCGATCAATTCGATCACATGATTCTCTACGTGCCGGGTTTCATGGAGGGGCATTTCTTCGACTGCACGAACAAGAGTGGAGATCTAACCCTGGCCGCTCCGTATGGTCTAGCGGGACGACAGGCGTTGTTGATTGATGCAGATCAGCCCGGTAGGTTCGAAACCATCCCCGATTACCCGGCCAAAGCCGAACACGTCGATTGCAGTCGCGAAATTGAGTTGCTGGCCGACGGTGATCTTTCGATTCGCGAACGGGTGGTGATCGCCGGCTACTGGGCTTCCCCCGTGCGAGCGTACCTCCGCAGCTTGACTCCCGCCGATCAAGAGACGGCCCTGCAACGAATACTAAGTTCCGACGGTTCCGAGGTTCAACTCGAGAAGCACGCGATCCAAGGGCTTGATGAGCCTCGCAAGCCGATGGTGATCTGGTCGACTTATCGCGTGCCCGACCGGTTCAGCAGCGCCGGAGAATCGCTTGTGGGCAGGTTGCCGCACGGTTGGGAACACGAGTATCTGAGTGTGGACTACCTCAGCCGTCGCTTGTCGCCAATTGAAGTGAAACGCGCGTCTAGCTTGAGCGCCAAAGTACGCCTGAGGCTACCAAGTGGAGCAACGCTTGATTCCTTGGAGTCGTGGAATGAAGAAGCCAACAACAAATACGCTGCCTGCAGAATGAGGGTCATGGCCGACAAGAACGGCGTATTGTTCAACTATCAAGTGCTAGGGCGCCGAGGGCAATTCGCGGCAGAGGATTACACGGCGTTTTACGAATCGATGAAGCGTCCGTTGGCGCATCTTGGGCAAAACCTGGTTGTTTCTACCTCGGGAGGCGACGTACCCGAGGTAACTCAGGCGGCGGCCTTGGAAGAGACCGAGTGATCCTAGTAGTGCCGCCTGTCGACGATATCGTTCCCCACTTACTGCGAGTCTTTTCTCGGTAGGCTTCCCACCACAGCGAACACGGCAATTAGCAGTAAAGCCGCTCCCGGCGGGGTGAGCAGAATTCCTACGCCAGGGTCGCTCTCATAGGTGTACCAGCCACCCAAGAAGAAACCGCCGGGCAGTAGAACACAGGCGGCCATCAGGCAGGGCGAAGCAATCGCAGCCATTCGTTCCGCGATCCCGACGATCGAAATCGTGGCAGCCAGCGCGATGTGGATTAGCCCGAGCAGTGTTCCGTGAGCATGAGCCAGCGTCCACAGCAGTCGCCGCGTCTCATTCGGAGGGTTGAGATACCAGCCAACTTTGAAGCCATGCATGGCTTCCAGCACGATCCCCAGCGTGAGAAACACCAGCAACGAAATCCAGCCGAAGCGGAGGTGGCGTAGCGTCAGCTTTCGTTGGAAGCCGATCTCTTCAACCGGCTCCCGTGCTGGCTGCGATGGTTCTGTTGCTTCGGTGCTCATTCCACAAGATCCAACGGGCGGTCATCACGCTTCGAGTGCAGTTGATCGAGAGTTTCTAGGTCAAGC